CCCCAATGTGCCGTGGGATTACAGGTGCCCCCCCCCCCCCGTGGTTTTTTTTTTTTTTTTTTTTTTTTTTTTTTAATAGAAACGGGGTTTCACCATCTTGGCCAGGCTGGTCTAACTCCTGACCTCATGATCCACCCGCCGCAGCCTCTCAAAGTTCTGGGATTACAGGCATGAGCCACCACGCCTGGCCAAAATAGACCATTTTCTTCCCATCGTTGACATCTAGTCTGCTTCTCCCTCCCTGGGCCTTAGCACACTTTATTTCTGCCGTCAGCTTTGCCAGCTTATAAATGCTACCTAGACACTAAAGCACCACGGTATTCCTAGCAAGATACTTTTCAAAGGAAAGGGCCCCATCTCCTCAGTTCTTGACTGTTAATATGAATCCAGTTGTTCTTCAGACATCCTTAATGTTTACAGATGGTAACTTTAAAACTGGCTAATTCTAGGGAAAGCTGCTATTACCTCCAGGCACAGATGGTGGCAAAGAAGACCCACGAGTCTTGAATGGCAGCCCACAGCCGGGAGACGGGAGACTGGCCGGTATCACAGCACAGCAGTCAGGTACTGCCTGTAACTAGCAGTTGTCCAGAGAGGCAAAGTATGGTATTGTCCTTGCTCAACAGAACATTAATTAGATATTCACCAACTATAGGATTCACCAAAACTGGGGGACTTACCCTACAACAACCAATGTTATTTTTAAACCAGCAGTTTGTATTCACAAATAAATTCCTACGTAGTTCAGTGTAATTTGAAAACTAGTCTTTAAATATTGGTAAAATAAGCCTCCTGATGAGTACATGCTTTCACTTTCTACATTTGTATGTAAAGCTCAGACATGAGGATGATGATCAAAGTGTTGTCTCAAGTGTCTCCTCATTCAATCCAGTAATTACTCAACTAAATCTAAAGTAAAGTTGACAGCATTGGCCTGATTGTTTGCGGGCCAAAGGAGAAAACTGAAAAAATTCAGCATGAATTGAACTGCTGAGCTTGAAACTGTAACACATACTGGCAACACTGGGTTTTCTACCTCTGACCTCCCACTTCATTCCAGTCTTTGTGGGAGTGTAGGCCTCAGATCCTGTGCTATTCCACATTCTAGAGGAGAGAACTCCTAAAACCAGACCCCTACAGTTTATCATACTGACCCCCAATTAGCTGGAGCAGTGAAATCTGTTGCATTATTGCTTGTTTTAATTGGCTGTTTTTAAATTCCAGGTGCCTTTGACAGATGGGAACTGATTCAAGCACAAGAGCTTCACAATAAGCTGAAAATAAAACAAAACTTGCAACAGCTGAACTCTGATATCAGCGCCATCACCACTTGGCTGAAAAAAACTAAAGCAGAGCTAGAAATGTTAAAGATGGCAAAGCCTCCCTCTGATATCCGGGAAATAGAACTCAGAGTGAAGAGACTGAAGGTGAGTCAGAGGTGTGGAGGGGAAGAGGAATTCAGGATGTGCATGTGATGAATGCATTGCTATGCTGGACAAACATATCACATGTATTCATGGTGTAACTGCAGTTATATCACATGTATTCCTGGTGTAGCTGCAGTCTGCAGATGGTATATGGTAGAGGTCACTCTTCATGTCAGTTCTATAGCTGGCAAGGACGTAGATGCAGATTTTTGTTTTCATATGGAAGAGTATCTAGAAATGATCCTGATCCCAGAATGCTGGGGAGATGTGACTCAGATCTCCAGAGATGGAAAGATCTGACATCCGAGGCACTTCTAGACTTTTCTGGAGATAGTAGTGGCCACTGTCAGGCAGTGTAAAATCACCCTTCCAAACCGTATGCACAGTTTCAGGAAAGACTGGTGGTGGAACCTTCCTTGAAAGGCCTTGGGAAAGGACCAGCTCACCTGCTGATGAATCCCATGGCCTGAGCTCATCACCCTTTTATGCAGTTAGGATGCATCATCCACATAAGTCCTGGCCCCACTGGAACTAGCCCAGGGAGCTGCAAAGGGACAGTTTGAGCCTGCATGTTAGGGGTGTCCTGAGCATTGGCCTGAGCTCCTGAGACCTAGGGCAGGAGTTTTGGGGGTATCCAGGCCCCCTTCATATTTGTACTTTTACTTTCTGCATCAGTATATTAGGGGTTACCATTCCACCTAAGGAATAACATTTCTGGGATATCTAGGAGCAAATGCAGGATAACCACATATACTTTTTCTGGAAGACCTTTAATCTGGCACAGAAACATTATTAAGCCAATTGCAGAGCAGGCGCTGTAGAGGTCAGCAGGGTCTTCTCCTGCCTCTAGCAGGCCTCTGCTTTGGGGCCCTGTTGGCCAAGTTCACTGACTTTGTAAGGCAGCCCCCTCACCTGATGCTTCCCAGCCAGTCACAGGCATGGTCACTCTGATTTCTGTGGCCACAACTTGGAAAAGTGTGTGGAAGATTCTTTCCCTACTGAGGTTCAAAATGAGCCCATCCTCCCCAGTTTCAGAGCTCCTAACCTCATTGTTTCCTTCTGTGGTAGGAGATATTGAAAGCCTTTGATACCTACAAGGCATTAGTAGTCTCTGTCAACATGAGCAGCAAGGAATTTCTGCAAACCGAGAGCGCCGAATCCACAGAGCTCCAAAGTAGACTCCGCCAGCTGAGCCTGCTCTGGGAAGCAACACAGGGCATGGTGGACAGCTGCAGAGGGGGCTTAAGACAGTCACTCATGCAGTGCCAGGTATGTTGACTCAGCACCCAGCCTCCTAGAGCCGGCAGCCAGGCCCACGTGGTGGGAGCAGCAGATATTTTTATCATTGTCAGGCTGCTTTGGTGCAGCCAAATGTGGCTTGTGTCAGGAAACATGCCTTACCATTTGTTTCCAAAGAGGCCCTCTGGCCATCTCAGAGACCCACTGCCTGCCCCAGGTCTCTTGCTCTGTTGCCCAGGCCCAGAGCCACTCCTGGAATAAGGGTACCTGCAAGCGACCTGTAGGTTAGAGATGCCCCCCTACAACTCCTCTTTTTGTCCTCTTGCTGAGTGATTAAGGGTTCTGGCCTTGAAACAGGAGCAGTTACTGCTTAATAGCCTCTGACTTTGGGCAAATCATTGAGTCTCCTAGACCTCAGTGTTCTCGTCTGAAAATGAGAATCAGTCTGTGCCTACCTCTTAAGGTTTTTTTAGGAGAAAATGAGGCAGTGTGTATAATCCTAGCCCAGTGCCCGACATATGAGTAAATGCACAGCGGGTGTCAGCCCTGCACCACTGCCTAGCTCTGACCATGTCTCAGGAACATGAGCCCACCCCCTGCCTGTCCTAGTGGGTTGTTTCCCTCCGCCACAAAGCCCAGCGGATTGGCTGAGGAATGCGTGTGGCCTTCATATATAAAATTACCCTGGCATCCTGAAGCCCCACCTTCCTGTTGGCATTTTTATTCGCTGCCTCCTGGCACCGTGCCGAGTGCCTGCCTTCTTTCTTCTTCCTTGTTTTGGGGCCCTGGCATTTAGTTTAAAGCTGGCCCTTGTGTTCACTAAGTAAGGCAAAAAAAGCAAATGACTGTGATGGATTGGAAGCAGCAAGCTGCATTCCTAGCATGCCGTCTTCCAGGGCTCTAAGAAATGGCAGTGCTCTGATGTGTGTTGTGTTTTAAGGACTTCCACCATTTGAGTCAAAATCTGCTGCTGTGGTTAGCAAGTGCCGAGAACCGGAGGCAGAAGGCTCATGTCACCCATCCGAAGGCAGATCCCCAGGCTCTCCTGGAGTGTCAGAGGGAATTAATGGTAAGTTTCTTCCCAAAGGCTATGTACTGCCACCAGCCTCTGTCAGTCCCAGAGAGGCAGCGCACTCAGGTAGCCTCGCCTAGTATTTCATGAACTGTGCCAGTGGTGTTTCCCTGTAATGCACAAGTTCAGCCCTGCTCTTCCTCCAGTTGGTGTCTACGGAGCAGCCCTTTGCAGTTCTGAAGCCAGATGACTTGCAGGAATGGAGAGCCACAGTCCACAGAGCTGAGGACATAGGTGGCTTGATATCCTGAGAACCTTAAAGCCATTTGAGTGGAAGTATTTTTTTCTTTTGTGACTACTGCTCATCCAAGGAGAAAGACAGTGCTCATTTGCTCCACAGCTGTGATGAGCTGAGTGGGTTTTCTGTATCCACTATGGACAAATCTTTCTTCTTGGAGGAGAGTCATGTCCTTGTGTATTCGGCAATAACACACCATGATGAGATTTCTGTATTCTTATGCTCAAGGTGACATTTTCATCCATAAATCTGTATGTGGTTTAAATATTTTAAATTTTAATCAGAGTGCTAGCCATTGTTTAAATATATATGTATTGTTTTCCTAAAATGTTGGCAAAGCCCCAGTCTCTAGAGCAGTGGCAGCCAGTAGAACTTTCTGCAGTGATAGAGATGGCCTGCATCTGCCCTGTCTAGTAACCTCATGTGGCTATTGTGACTGAAGCTGAATTTTTAATTTTAGTAAATTTAAATAGCCAGATGTAGGCCATGCTCACGCCTGTAATCCCAGCATTTTGGGAGGCCGAGGCTGGCCAATTGCCCAAGATTAGGAGTTCAAGACTAGCCTGGTCAACATGGTGAAACCTCCATCCCTACTGAAAATATTTAAAAAAAAAAAAAAAAAAAAAGCTGGACATGGTGGCGGGCACCTGTAGTCCCAGCAACATAGGAGGTTGAGGCAGGAGAATCAGGTGAATCCAGGAGGCAGACGTTGCAATGAGCCCAGATCGTGCCACTGCACTACAGCCTGGGTGACAGAGTGAGACTCCATGTCAAATAAATAAATAAAATGAATAGCCACATGTGTCTAGTGGCCATATTGTAAGCAAGATAACCACCCTTAACAATTAAAGCCTGTCTGGCTGGTATGAACCTCCATGTTTCTAAACAGTATGGTTATGCTGCTGAGTCTCAGTTGATTGACTTTAGTTTCCCTTTACTTCCTTCGGTGGTAGATGAAGGACCTCTTGCCTCACTTGCCTTGCCTTGCCTCACACACCACTTGCCTCACTTTCCTTCCTCTCGTTTCTCCAGCGTCACAACTGTCTTCAGCGTGAAAAGAAATAAAAAATAGGGGCAGGGTATAATCCACCTGCTATCTAAACAGTGCTGGGCTGGAGGACACAGACAGGTGGATGTGAGAAATAGAAGGTTCTGGAGTTCAGTACCACCCATCATTCATTCTGGAACTTTTCTGGTACTGAGAAAAACCTCATGTGGCCACACTAGCTTCCCTTTTGACAAGTCCATTTCACACACTTTTTCTATTTTCAGCAACTGGAAAAGGAGCTGGTAGAATGTCAACCTCAAGTGGACTTGTTACAGGAGATTTCAAACAGCCTTCTCATTAAGGGACATGGAGAAGAATATATTGAAGCTGAAGAAAAGGTCCATGTTATCGAGAAGAAACTCAAACAGTTACGGGAGCAAGTGTCCCAAGACTTAATGTCCTTACAGGGAACCCAGGTGAGTCTACCTGTAGCTTTTAAATGTAAAGATTACCATATTAGATACAGACAGGATGGCGGTGTTGCAGCCCCGCTCTAAGAGAGAAGCCGTAAGAAAGGGGCAGGTGGGCCGAGTGGATCCTCATGTCCTGCCCTTTTCTAGTTGTGCAGACTTTGGCTACATAAGCAGCCAGGCACAGTGGCTCACGCCTGTAATCCCAGCACTTTGGGAAGCTGAGGTGGGTTGATCGTGAGGTTAGGAGATGGAGACCATCCTAACACAGTGAAACCCCTTCTCTACTAAAAGTACAAAAAATTAGCAAGGTGTGGTGGCATGCGCCTGTAGTCCCAGCTATTCAGGAGACTGAGGCAGAATAGCTTAAAACCTGGGAGGTGAAGGTTGCAGTGAGCCAAGATCACACCACTGCCCTCCAGCCTGGGCAATAGAGTGAGACTCCATCTCGCTCTGAGGGCAAAAAAAAAAAAAAAAAAAAATGCTGCATAAGCTCTTTGAATTTGTTTGGTCATTTTGAAAAGCCGGGGGAGGGGGGTTGATGATTTTTTGAACTTTTTAAAAAAGGAAGTGGCTAATTTTTGTATTTGCTGTAGAAGGCTTCTTGCCATGTTGCCCAGGCCGGTCTTGACCTCCTAAACTCAAGCGATCCAAAGTGCTGGGATTACAGGCATGAGCCACCGCACCTGGCCTATTTTAAAATGGGTCCAACTCAAAACAATGGGAATACCCAGACTGTAGCCTCACCAGACCTAGGGCAGGTCTATCCCCTCCATTCTAGAGTCTATTTTCTTCTAAGCAGCCAAGACTAGACTTTCTTGTTGGCCACATGAGCTCATCGCTGACCTGTGATGAGCTCACTATCAACTGAAACTGCTGCTGTGGTCCTCTTGCTGTGGCTAAACTCAGTTTCCCCAGCTCTGTGCTATGGGTTGCTTTTTAATACCGGTTGGCTTTTATTTACATTCCTTTTTGTCTGAAAAAGGGTTAACATTAGGAGTGAGAGCAATAGGAGAGCCCCTTGAGGAAACATTTAAGGCTGAGCACAGTGGCTCATGCCTATAATCCCAGCACTTTGGGAGGCCAAGGCAGGTAGATCACTTAAGTCCAGGAGTTCAAGACCAGCCTGGGCAACACGGTGAAACCCCATCTTTACAAAAAAATAGAAAAATTAATCAGGTGTGGTGGTACATGCCTATAGTCCCAGCTACTCAGGAGGCTGAGGTGGAAGGATTGTCTGAGTTTGGGAGGCGAAGGCTGCAGTGACCTATGATTGTGCCACTGCACTCCAGCCTGGGTGCCACAGTGAAACTGTCTCAAAAAAAAAAAAAAAAAATTGATTTAAGCTGGGGGAGGGTGAGCTATACCATGAAGAATCTGCATGAAACATTTCTGTGCCTAACCTTTGGGATCTGCATTTCAGAACCCAGACTCACCCCCGCCTGGCTTCGATGAGGTAGACTCAGGAGACCAGCCTCTCTCGGCATCTGTGCCAGCTCCCCGAGCAAAGGTAAGAAGCCCTTCCTTCTGTGAGAACCTCACTGGTTATTTTTAAAAGTCACTGAGATGAGAGAAACTTGGGACAAGAGGCCATTAGCCATTTCAGGACAGCACAGGTCTGCTGTAGCCTACTGACCCACGGAGAGGCTTACTCCAAATATATATTTTTTAAATAAAATATTCTTTTTAAAGACCTACAGCCTGTCTTCTAGTCAGTTGCTTTTCTTTGGGATCACAGTAAGTTGTGAAAGATGAGAGTTCTTACAGCGTTGTAAAGGGGTTTGCTGATTTCGCCATTAAATACAGATCAACAAACTTGATCCTGAAACTAAGTAGTTTAACAAAATTATTTCCTACATCATGTGACATTTAATCCCAATTATATTACTCTAGTCTCCAAAGTTTGGCTGTAACACAACATGAAGGTGGTATATAATTTAAGAGAGAATATTTTATCATTGACAGGACTAAACTGTCTTCAACTTACTAACTGGAGTTTCTTTACCCAGCAGTTCAGAGGAGAGAGAACAGCAGAAGGCGAGGAGGAGACAGAGAGCAGGTAACAGGACTTTACTACCACAGCAATGCGTTCCCTGCCCCACACTCCCACTGCCTCAGTCTTGCCAATGCCACTATCAGGTCCTTGTAAAAATATGGTTTTCTTTTGTCTGGAAAGGGCTGGCCTTCTCCTCTGAAACTGAACCCCAACTATTGGCCTTATTTCAATCTCAGGTCTTGGATTTCTTACTTACATAAGCAGGGGTCTGGTAACGGAGTGGGTCGTGCCTGTGGAGCCTCCCGGTCAGCTCTCAACCTCCTCTGTTGGCAGGGTCGCCGGCAGCACACGGCCACAGCGCTCCTTCCTCTCACGGGTGATCCGGGCAGCCCTGCCCCTGCAGCTGCTCCTCCTGCTGCTGCTGCTCCTGGCCTGCCTGCTGCCCTCCTCCGAAGAAGACTACAGCTGCACTCAGGCCAACAACTTTGCCAGGTCCTTTTACCCCATGCTGAGGTACACCAACGGGCCACCCCCCACATAGAGGGAGTGGCTGGCTGCAGCGCCACACCACCCGCCTGATGGCTAAGGGTGCCCAGCATGTGGCCCCGGACCAATCTGTGCGTGACTCTCAGTGTTGGCAAGGTCCAGGGACCTGTGCAGACACCTTCTTCTGGGCTCGCCCGGCATGGGCTCTCTGGAGCCCGGGGCAGCTTTCAAATTATATTCCTCCCCAGGGGCAGGGAACCTGTGTGGCAGTTGCCCCGGGTATTCTGGCAAAGCTAGTTGGTTTAGGGATCTCTGGAAATGTCAGTTTCCTGAAGAGCCAAGCACTTTGTGAATTCTGATTTATTTGTAAAATAGCATTATTATAAGGTAGGTAATATGATCAATGAGCAGTGGTGTCCATGGTGTATATTATAGAAGCAAGTGAGCACATTCCACCCTAGAAATGCTTCAGAAACTCATAGGCACCCTTAGCTAATGAAAACAATCATGTTCAGTACATTTAGAATCAGTTTTACTCTGATCAACTGGCAATTTTGAGCCACAGGTTATACACCAAAATGTTCTGTTAAGTACCTAGCTCTGCTCTTCTATATTGGTTTACATTTTTAAAGAAATTATATTGCATGGATGTGGTTATTTGTGCATATTTTTTAACAATGCCGAATCTGTATGAATAATGTAAACTTTGATTTTTTTAAAAAAAATCAGATTTTAGCTGGAGCTTTTGACTAATGTACAGTAAATGCCAAACTGCTGACTTGATAGAGATGTTTTTGTAAGTTAATTTTCTAAGACTTTTTCACATCCAGAGTGACACTTTGGGTTTTAACTGTTTGGCCATGGGGGGTTGGGGGGCGGCTCAGGAACTTGAAGCTGTTTGTGGTATGTACAACTCAGATGTTTCTCATTAAAAAGACAAAATTAGCCAGACTTCTGGATTTTTTTACGAAGCAGTTCAATGGTATGCTTAATCTTCCAAAGAAGAAAAATTATTTTAAAAATATTTGGGGAGAGCCTTTCATTCTAAGTCTTACAGAATTAAACTTTTGTCTCATAGTCTTTAACTTTTACAAAATTAACTTAGATCTAGACTCAAAACCTGTTTGGCAAGAAGACCCTTGTGTATATGTAAATTACTCGTGTGTGTGACCCTCAGACGCTATAGGGAATGGCAAAGACAGACTAGGAGGTGGACACAAAGGAACGTATACCCAGTTTACTCCTGTCACCAAGGCTGGAGTGCAGTGGCCTGATCTCGGCTCACTGCAACCTTCACCTCCCAGGCTCAAGCGATTCTCATGCCACCATGCCTGACTAATATATTTTTAGTAGAGATGGGGTTTTGCCATGTTTGCCAAGCTGGTCTCAAATGCCTGGCCTCAAGTCATCTGCCCACCTCGGCCTCCCAAAGTGCTGGGATTACAGGCGTGAGCCACCGTGCCTGGCCCAGTTTATTCTGTTCCCGGTCCTCTCCACAGCAAATTAACAGGTAGTCAGGGGTATAACAAATGTTACAGGCAAAGCCCCTTGCTGCCCATTTAAGTACAGTAACATTGTTTACTTTCTACCTAAACAGAGGATATGCATCAGCATTTCCCCTTTGAGAAGATACTGAACCCAGTTCCTAACCTGCATATCTTGGCAGGCACTGCTGACCACACCATCCCAGTCCCCTCCTCCCCTTCTCAGCAAAGCACAAACCTCAGGGGAAACCAGTGAAACTCATCAGCAGAGGAAGCCTCAGCTTTCCACATGGTGCCCCTCATGGGTGAGACATCCACAAGGCCTGGGCAGTTAAGGAGACCATCTGAAGAGAATCTGTCTTCACTTTACCTTCAGTGTTTACAGTTATCAAATTGGTGGACTGATATAAAAAGGAAGATGGTTTTTAACCACATAACTTCAGTGATTCCAGAGGGAAACTGAAGTGAAAATGTTACCCAAGCTTTTTCTTTAGGCCACCGAGTTGATTAGAGGGTCACTGCTCCATCGTTGCTTCAGGCAAGAGTCCATCTCCATCTTCCATTCCAAAGGAGGTGAGTGAGTGAGAGGCCTTTTCTGCCCTTAAGTAGAGATGCGGGACAAGTCAGAGTTGCAGTAAAAGGAACAGTGTGGTCTTCATTTCAAAGCCTAATATTGTGTATATCAATTCTCGTCCCTTCCAAAGCATAAAAGCCTTTAAGCTGGTTTGCCCCCATCGGCAGGGAGGCCCCTGCAGCTTCTTTCACTCAAAGCTCAAGTGTATTCCCAGAACTGTTTTATGAGGTAGTCCGGGTTTTACATCATCTGCACATCTTTCATTGCCCACATGCAAAGGACATTTTCACATGACTGTTGGCATAAGATAACTTCAGAATGAATGAGTTGCTTTTCTCCCCATCTGCAAAGGATATAATTCTAATTGAACTCAGATGGAATGACAGAAAATCTATCCAAATAATTGATGCACTAGATACAAGGACTTCTGTGGGCTCTGTTTTACTTGTATACGTGGAACCTGTGGTAATCAATCAATCAAGTGTGAGAGTTGCTGACTAAAGATGAAATTGTCCCTTTTTAAGAAGCCATACATTAAAGCAGAGCTTAACTCCTCTGAAATTGTACACAAGCATTTGTGTTCAGGTGCCCTTTCCCGTGAAGACTAGCCCTGATTTTCATCAAATTTTCAAAGAACTCTAACCCCAAAATAATAGAATGTAGACACTGCTCAGCCTAATTACTGTATATTCTTATATTCAACCCTCAACAAATACATTTTTAAAGCCAAAATAATGAAAACACTTTATTTCTATCATGTTAAACTCTCTGTGACAGTGCCATAGACATGTAAGGGACACAGTAAGGAAAAAACACTCCCTGGAGGAAGGGAGAGCAGGTCTCAAAGTCTGCTTTCACATAGCAGCGTACATTCATTTCTACAAGGCCCAAATGTAAAGCCTGCAAATGAAGTGAACAAATAGTGTAATGGTACAAAGCATTCATCTGAGAAAATGGCAAATTATAGCCAACCAACAGGCTCTGAGGTACACAGTGAATGATAAAAGGTATCGGACCAACAGTTAAGGCATTTAGAAACCCAACAGAGGAAACAAATGCAAAACCATCCAGTTCACAGGAACTGTTCACGGCTGGCATCGCCACTCCTTATGTGCTTCCCGTAGAGGAAACCCACCACCAGTTACCAGTGGCTAGCCCTACAAGTCAATAGAATTCTTGGCATTAAAAAAAAAAATCATTGACTCCAAAGCAACAAAAACGGCGCTTCAATCATACATCACAGACAATGCACATCTTAAGAGCCGCCACTGGAGCCAAAATTCCAGCAAGTTTGAGAGCTATAAAGAATAAGTGGCATATGTTTTCACACTATAGTATACCACACACCACAGGGACGCATCAGTGCCTAAAAGACGTGAGTTTTACACAAGTACACTTCCAAGGAACATATTCCACGTGTTTGGGGAAAGCAGTCACGGATAGGAGGTGATCGCAGTACCCACTAGCTCACTGAGATGGGACGGTGGGAATAATAGAATGCATGATATTTTCCCATCTGTCAGTGGTGCTTTTCTGTAACGGTGCATGCAGACCCATCTAAGCTGAGGAGATGGGATCTAAAGGTACGGTGGAAGGCAACCCTAACTTCACCACCCCTCCTTTCTGCTGTGACTCAGCTCACAAAGGAGTCTCACAGAAGCAAGTCCTGGAGCAGGAGCGATACTGGCCCACCAGGCGAGCGAAGACTTGAGTGCCACTCCAAGCTTTGCCATGAGTTGTTTTAAATGACCTTGGATAGGTGCATTTGCCTCTGTGAGCTTTAATTTACACATATATGAAAGGTACAGTTGAACTTCTGTCAGAGGTCTACAAACTTACTGTGTCTAGGGTGTCCTGGACGTTGTGATAGGAGGTGAGGGGGTGACACAAGGAGGCCTCATTTAAATCACAGCAGCCATGCATGCCAGGTTGCATCTGATGGACAGAGTCTGCAGTTTTAAAATAATTTTTTTTAAACTGGTTGAAGTGCATGGTCACTGTTGGCACTGGACTTAGACTGCCTGTGTTCAGCTCTATCACTTATTCCCCATGTGACCTTGAGCAAGTTTGCTTACACTGTCTCTAGTTCCAAAACCAGAAAATCAGGACAACAGCAGTTCTTAAAAGGATTAAATGTGAATGACTGAGGCACTAGGAACTGTCTGGCACAAACATTATCTTTAGGTACTAAATAATGTGTTTTTATCTTTTTAAAAGATTTTCAGCTGCTTAAAAACGTGTCGGGGCTGGGCACAATGGCTCACGCCTGTAATCCCAGCACTTTGGGAGGCTTTGGCAGGCAGATCGCTATGTTGCCCAGGAGTTCAAGACCAGCCTGGGCAACATAGCAAGACCCCATCTCTACAAAAATTACAAAGAATTAGCCAGGTGTGGTGGTATGAGCCTGTAGTCCCAGCTACTTAGGGAAGGCAGGGGCTGAGGTGGGAAGATCACCTGAGACCAGGAGTTCGAGGCTGCAATGAGCCATGATGGTGCCACTACACTCTAGCCAGGAGTGAGACCCTGTCTCAAAATAAAAAACTGTCAAATCATATTAAATGAAGATACTTTGTTTCAAAATAGGCCTATAAACAGAAGGTTCACTTTGAATTTGAAAAGTCCCTTAGCAGATGTAAATAAGAACCAAACCCGTTTTCACAAGCTAGAAAATTCTAGAATTGCTTCAACTCTGCTTATATATATAAATATATATGGATATATAATATGGCTTTGCCAAGTATTGGTAACTGATTTTTCTTCCTTACTGAAATCTAAAACATTTGTCCTTCCCGCTGAGTCAGCAGGGGAAGTATTCCAGATCAAGACTCGTACTGCACAGCTCCTGTCAATTTTGCACTGTTTTGTTTTTAATGCAGATAAGAGTCCTCAGATTTGTTGTTAGGCTGACAGCTTTGTCTCGTGTTCCCACCTTACTTTTCTGAGAAAAATCCCTTCAAGACTATTTTAGGGTCAAATCTTTTGTAGTCAGTCCTGGTGGCAGTGAGTATGGGACAGGCCTGAGGCCAGACAGAGGGGTGAGGTGAGAACAGGGAGATTCAGTGAGAACAGCTGAAACACTGCAGCGCTCACCAGACTGCCCTCTCAAGGCTCTAAAGGGATTGCCATTGCCAGTTCACTCTCAGCAGTAGGAATGAAATCTGTCTTAAGATCTACTCTCCAAAAGTATATATATATATTTCCTGGTAAAAAATTTTTTTTTTTTTTTTTTTTTTTTTTTTTTTTTTTTTTTGAGATGGACTGTTACTCTTGTTGCCCAGGCTGGAGTGCAATGGCACCATCTCGGCTCACTGCAACCTCCGCCCTCCCAGGTTCAAGTGATTCTGCTGCTTCAGCCTCCCAAGCAGCTGGAATTACAGGTGCCTACCACCACACCCAACTAATTTTTTTGTATTTTTAGTAGAAACGGGGTTTAAACTTGTTGGCCAGGCTGGTCTCAAACGCCTGACCTTGTGATCCTCCCACTTTGGCCTCCCAAAGGGCTGAGATTACAGGCATGAGCCACTGCGCCTGGCTGGTAACTTTTGTGTGTGTGACAGGGTCTCCCTCTGTCACCCAGGCTGGAGTGCTTTGATATGATCTCAGCTCACTGCAGCCTTGATCTCCCCAGGCTCAGGTGATGCTCTCACCTCAGCCTCCCAGGTAGCTGGAACTACAGGCCTTCGCCATCAAGCCTGGCTAATTTTTGTATTTTTTGTAGGACAGGGATTCTCCATGTTGCCCAGTCTGGACTTAAACTCCTGGACTCACATGGTTCACCTGCCTCGGCCTCCCAGCGTGTTGGGATTTACAATCATGAGCCACCACATCTGGCCTTGTTTTGGTTTTTTATGTTTTTGTTACCTGGTAATCTCCTTTAAAAATACGTTTAGTGG